GGACATGGCCAACAGAAGTGGGCAGATGGGCTCTGCCTGCAGCCTGGGCTCTGCTTTGTGGTCCTTGGGAGGCATGTGATCATGGACGGTGGCTGCGCCTAAATGACCATGTTTCCGTTTTCCGGGGATAATTTCCCCGAGTGTCTCACCCAGTTCCTTAGGAACATTACAGACTGTCTTTCCCCACCCACACCCTGTGTTTGCAGGCACGTGGAGCACAAGTCGACAGTGCTGGGGACAGCCCTCAACTATGTGTCCTTAAGGATCCTGGGCCTGGGGCCCGACCACCCTGACATTGTCCGAGCACGGGAGGTTCTCCACAAGAAAGGTAGTCTGGTGGCGCCGTGCTGGGGCACGGCCGAGGGTGCTGGTACAGTGGGAAAGATGCAGGCAGGGGGCCACCCTGCCGATGCTGGTGGGAGCTGTCTCACCTCATCCGTGGTTGATAAGCAGCATGACCAGGCATCTGTGTGGGTCCTCGAACCTTCTTTCATGGGGATGTGAGAGCTCACAGCAGACACGCACTTGGTTCCTGTAGGCTTAGTGCGCTGGTCCCTCGCAGGTGACGTGAAGTTGATTCAGGCTCCTCTCTGTCTCAGGTGGTGCGACACTCGTCCCCTCCTGGGGCAAGTTCTGGCTTTGTGTGCTGAACGTGTACAGTTGGGAAGGCATCAACAGCCTGTTCCCGGAGATGTGGTATGTGTGACCCCATGCCATCTGGTATGTGTGATGATCCCATGCCATCGCCACCTTACATTGGGGAGCAGTGGGGTCTGGGCCCCCCGGTGGTGAGCTTGTGGTTGTGCTTGCTCGCTGTCCCAAGGCTCCCTTTTGCGGGTGGGCTCTGGCCTCAGGGAGTCTGGACTCCATGGGTAGGGTCGGGTGGTGGACCAGGGGGTCTCCCAGGCTGACGGAGTCGGTGGGAGGGAAGACAGTGCTGTAAACTGTGTGTAGGCCAGCCGGTGCCTGGGGCTGCTGGCAGGGCCCCGGGTTGTGGGGAACCTGGGTGTTACCGTGTAACCTGTGTGCCCGCACCTGCCAGTCGTAGGGACTGTGGTGATGCCTGGAGGCCCAGGGGAGCGGCACAGCCCTTATCGTGTCACTGCCGTCACCTCTTCCCCAGGCTTTTCCGCTTGAGATGGTTCATCTAAATCACCAGCATCGCACTTCACCAAAGAAACATTCGTGCTTTGAAATACTGATTTGATAGCTAAGATCTTTTATTAAAAAAACAAAAAAGGAGCTGCAGTACTCTTCATACACGCAGCACATTTGGCCCGAGTCCCTCATCTCGTCCCGTAAGCAGTGTTTGAGGATGGCTGCTGTGCACATGCATCCAGGCACCTCGCCCTCATGTGCTACAGGAGGGGGCACCCAGGAAGGTTTGGACAAAGCCCTGAGGGTGGAGCGGACACCTGGGGACTGAGGGCAGGGCAAGGTCTCTGCTGGGAGCCATGAGGACAGAGGCAGGGTCCCCACTGGGTTTCTTCTATGTTAGGAGGTGACTTGTGGCCACGGTGGAGGGGCTAGTGAGAGAATCTCAGCAATCACCTAGTGGTGACAGGGAGGGCAGAGGTGTAGGTGATAGCGGGCTAGGTGAGAAGTCTGGCAGAGGGATTTATAGGTGGTAGGTGGGTGCTTACCTGGAGGGCTATGTGAGGCAGGACGGGGGCAATGTCTCAGCTTGGCTGGGTGAGGGGTACTGGGTGGGGAGACAGGTCAGGCTGGGAAACCAGTGGGAATGCCTGGTGAGGCAGGATGACTGGCCTGCCGGAGCTGTCCAAGGGGCAGTGGTTTGAGGCCTAGGGTGAGTGTGCCCGCGTGGAGGACCAGAGTTCTCCCCACACGTTGGACCTCAGGAGATTCCCCTTGTCAAAGAAGCAAAGCCTAGGTGCAGAGGCTGTCTGGGAAGGGCGGTCGTCATGTCAGACTTGGGCTTTGAGAAAACCACAGTGTTCTCCTCTACCTCAATCTAAGAGTTGCAGATTCCTGGAAACGCTGCCCAATGGAGCCCAGCCCTGTGCTGACATTACTTGTCTCCACTGGGAGACTGCAGCCAGGTCTGGACCTCGAGCTGAGCAAGAGCTGACATGCTGTTGTGGTGTGGTGGCTTGGCCTTGTGCTCTGTGAGGGTGCAGCTACAGGCGGCAGGTCCACGCTGGCCTGGGGAGTGGCTCTGCTTGGTCCACATGCAAGGTCTCTTGCATTGTGGAAGTGGGTTGAGCGGCAGACAGGACCCTCTGACTGTCCACTGTCCACAGGCTGCTGCCCACGTGGTTCCCTGCACACCCCTCCCACATCTGGTGCCACTGTCGGCAGGTCTACCTGCCCATGAGCTACTGCTATGCCAAGAGGCTGTCATGCCCTGCTGACGACCCATTGGTACAGAGCCTGCGGCAGGTGAGACCCTCTGCATTCGGGTGATAGCACATCCACACTGCAGGCTCCAATGCAGGGGGTGGCAGGAGTTCCCATGGTAGCCAGGTAAGCCTGTCCTGGTGAGAGGGTAGGACAGTAGTAGAGGGAGAAGAGTAGAGAGATGGTGGGGATGTGATCTGCAGCGGGGATGATCCACAGAGCAGTCCCAAAGGGCCATGACCTGGTGAAGTGGCCTTAGGATTAGTGGCTGGGAGCACCCTTCCCTGTGAACCTAGTGGCACTTAGTCAGAGTGTATGTGCCCATCAGTCATCTGCTGTGAATGCCTGGGCCTGGGTTCTCTGTTCCCACCTGTGGCTCAGGCACCCCTCCCCTAGGAGCTCTACCTGGAGGACTACGCCAGCATCAACTGGCCGGCCCAGAGGAACCGAGTGTCACCTGATGACCAGTACACACCACACAGCTGGCTGCTCAATGCCCTCTTAAGTGCGTGTCCCCAGCTGCATGTCCATGTGTGTAGGGAACATGCCGGGGCGGTGGAGGGCAGTCCCTCAGCCACCTCACAAAGGACCTGGCCATTTTCTCCCAGCAAGGCCCCCTGCCTGAGCGTGGTCCTATGGTGGGCTTCCTTTGCCCGTCTAGCCGATAAGACCTTGGAGCTGGGCTACGTGGAGGCACTGTGGCTGTCCTGCCCCCACAGTGGCAGCAGACCCACACTGGCCAGCGTGTGGTGGAGGCTGGTCTTACTCCTTCCTGGCTCCCCACCCACCCAGTGCCCCGAGTAGCTCCTCTCACTGGCCTGCTGAGGCCGACTGCTGCCGGGCTGCATCTGGCTCACAATGCCCCTGACCACTCACATGGGGAACCGGGGCTGGCTGGGAGCAGCAGATCTGGATGGGTGGGGCCATAGTGAGCATCTCCTGAGTCAGGTGGGGGGTAGGGGTGGGGGAGAGGAGAGTTAGCGATCAGGCAGAGGAGGCTCAGAGCGAGCCTCGTCCTGCCTGGGGCTGGAGGCTGCTCCTGCATAGCACGGAGGGTGGGTCCACTGATAGCCTCCGCCCTTTGCTAACCTCAGTGCTGCTCAACCTGTATGAGCGACACCACATCACCAGTCTGCGGAAGCGTGTCCTCCAGGAGCTGTATGACCACATCGTAGCCGACGACCGCTTCACCAACTGCATCAGCATTGGCCCGGTCAGTGCCCAGCTCGGCCCCGCCTCTTCTGACAGGGCACGGTGTGCTGAGCTCCCAGGGTCATCAGTTAGACCTCACAGTGGTGGAGGAGGGGTCCTTGAGGTAGCCTTGACTGGAACGTATCTGCCTGTGTACTCCCCACCACCCTGCCAGCTTGGAGAAGTTGGGTGTTGACCCATTGCCATCACCAGTCTGGTCTCTTGAGGGGGCTTGGGATGCTTCTCCTCATGACCTTTGTGCTGCCTCTGGCTGGGAGGGGCTGCTTCTCCCCTGGGACCGTCCCCTCCCCACTCCTGCCACACATCGCCCACTGTCTGCTCTACTCCTTGAGGACTTAGAAGTGACTCGGGATAGTGCCCAGAGTCTGTGTCACCTTGACGGGGCCCTCATCATACCTGACTTAACAGACAGCGTCCCAGTGTCAGTTAAAGAGGGCCAGGGGCCAGGAGGCTTGGGTTTAAAAGCTTCAGCAAGGCTTCTGGGCTTTGGATGAGCTAGAAATGTGCGTTCTTGGGTTTTGACTGCTGAGCTCACTAACCAGGGGCCCTGGATGGGAAGCATGGGCTCTGGGCCATTCTGCCTCAAGGAAAGGGGCCTCATTGGCCGGCCCGCTGCCTCTCGTGCTCCTGCAAACCGGGATGCGCTGAGAGCCCTGGTCCCTGCTCAGATCAGGTCTCAGCTCAGCAGGATGGGACCCCCACAGGCCCACCTGGCACAGACCCCTGCCTGCTGCCCATGTTCACGGGTCTGTTGGGTAACCACACCTGTGGTGTGGGGCCCAGGTGACCTCATGCTTACGCTAAGTGCACATCTGCAGATCTCTAAGGTTATCAACATGTTGGTTCGGTGGCATGTAGACGGGCCGACCTCCCCTGCCATGAAGGAGCATGTGGACAGGATCCCTGACTACCTCTGGTGAGTGAGCCGTCCTACCTGAGAACGCTGTGGGCATGGCTGTGGGAGGGCCCCAGCCTCAGGTTGGGGGTGGGGTGGGGCATGGTGCCACGGGGTCTGGGAATAGCGCCCCTGACCAGGAGCTCAGAACTGTGGAGCCAGCAAGGCTGCCTCTGTCTGAGCGGTTTGCTGACAAGATGAAGCTGAGTGGTCAGGGAGCTGATCTCCCTGACGCCTCTCTCTTCCTCCCAGGCTGGACCTCAATGGCATGAACATGCAGGTAGGACCCGGACCACGGGGTGGTCAGGGGAATGCCCTTGTTATTCTTGTTACCTTGTGTTGGACTTTCTCAGATTAAGGCCCCTTTTCTCTAACAACTTGGCTGTGTGTGTGTCCCTTAGCCCTGACCCAGTCTCCTGCTCCGAAGGGCCTCTGGTAGTTCATGAGGTGCAGTGTTCCCTGGGTGTGGGGCAACACACCTGCATGGGCCACTTTGCAATTATCCTTCCACCACCCTCAACCTTCCCCATCATCATTTTAGCCTGAGCTGCTGCCCATGTGGCACCTAAAGTGGCAGCCCTCTCTAGAATTCTTGTTGGCCCTCGGTGGGGTCAGAGCTGGGCCCCCTCACCCTTGGTCTGCTCTGGGCCCAGCAGTGCTGCCTACAGATGTGGGTGGGGAAGGATGTGCTGTTCTTTCTGGTACAGTGACCCTGCTTGTTCCAGGGTACCAACGGCTCGCAGCTCTGGGACACCGCATTCACCATCCAAGCCTTCCTGGAGGTATGTTTATGTCTGTGTCACTCGCCCGTGTGCAGCTCCAAGCGCTCTCTCCCACACCTCCCCACATTTCCCCCCAGTGTGCTTTCTCTATGCTACCCCCTTTGCTCACCACGGTCTTGTAATCTGGCTGGGTGGGATTCCTGGTCTTGATCCTCCGTATGGGGTCTGGGGCTCCCGCACTGATTTCTGCAAGCCCCCAGATCTGTGCCCATCATAGGCCCCAGACACCCTCGCTTGGGATGGGCGCTAGAGTAGACCAGCCTCTAACATCGGTGGGGGTCCAAAGGAGCAATTGTGCGGTTATAATTTATAAAGGTCATAGCAAAGTCATGGAAGATAGAGAGAGTGAAATAAAGGGGTCACACATTTTATGGTCGCATGCTCACCTCTGGGACTGCCATGATCTCAGCAGCCAGGTCTGCACAGAGAGAGAGTGGGAAGACGACGAGGGAGGAGAAAGCATCTCCTATTTATTTCTGACCAAGGCTCCTAGATATACTTAGGGGCGTGATTACAGGTAACCACACATGTCACAGGAAGGGGCTGTATAATAGGCATACTCATCACAGGAAGGGGATGAGCTAGGGGTGTACACCTAATAGGAAGGGGAGGGGTTAGGGGTACACATGTGACAAGATGGGCAGACTTAGACTCAAGATGGCAGCCTAACCTTGGTCTTCCTTGAGTGGGCTTGACCTTTTCTCTAGGCTCTCCTTCAGGCAAACAATCCACTACCCTTATCAGAAGGGAGTGGGCCCTACTTAGGGTGGGACAGACTATACAGTCTGGTTGCTCTCATGGCTGATAAACCCTCAGGGAGAATAATCGCTGAGCAGCTTGTGCTGACCACCAAGTGTACAGTCATTTACCATGTGTAGCACGCAGCGTCTTAGGTTTGGCACATGTTTGGGGAAGACAGCCTGGGGAAACCCTTTTATACCCCACAGATGGGGCTTTGCCCGAGGGCAGGGGGTTGTGTTTGAGGCATCAGCCCCTCAGATCTAGCTTGACTGGGCAGGGAAGACCAGGTCGGGATGTGAGTGGGGAGATTAGCTGCAGGCTGAGGAGGCCGGGCTGGGGCTGCTCGGGATTCGGGATCAGAATGCCTTTCGTTTTGAACTGACGGTGGTGGTGGTCGCTTTGAGCACATTTTGAAATGGACGACGCAGAGTTTCTAGCTTCGTAGCTCCCAGCCTCCACCCCGCTCTCCACCAGTGTGAGAGAAGTATGAGCTTCAGGGTGGTGGGTGGGGGACTGTGGTCCTTGGAGGGCTCTAGGTCCGGCAGAGGACGAGCCGAGTGGCGGGTGGGTCAGCAGGCTGTGCTTTCTCACAGGCTGGCGCACACCACTTACCCGAGTTCACATCCTGCCTGCAGCAAGCGCACAAATTCTTCCGCATCTCGCAGGTGAGGCCGCCAACTGGCTGCTGTCCCTCCCCACCCTGCCCCTTCCCCTGCCCAGTCCTCTCCTGGCCCCGCTGCGCATCCGGCCCTGTCCCTCCTCTGCCTCCTGCAGTCGGCCTCCAGCCCTCTTCTTCCGTGAGCACTCTTGCTAAGGTCGCCAGGGGCCCGTGGCACTTCTGCCATGGTCTGGCTCCTGTCGAGTTGGTGGGGGCGGTCCTTCGTGGGCCTGAATGGCAGTAGCTTCTCTCCACCGTGCACTTGTTACGTTGGCATCTCCCAGCCCTTTGTCCCCCCAATACTGGTGGTGACCCATCTCTCTTGCCTTTCCTGTAATGCTCCCTAGATCGTGGACAACTTACCTGACTATCAGAAATACTACCGCCAGATGAGCAAGGTACCCATCTGCCCATCCAAGGCCCCCGTGTACCTTTACCTGCATGTGCAGTCACCTGGATGCATGAGGGCATTTCCCACTGAGAACTTGCCTGCCCCCCACACCAACTGCCACTTTGAGGGGAGGTGCACATGCCCAAACACTCAGTAACTATTGGGCCAGTTGCTCAGTCACTGCGGGGAGACAAAGGGAGGCAGCACGTCAGGGGCGCAGCTCCTTGTGGTGAAACTGGGCCCCAGAGGCCTGGTGATCTCTGGTGGCTGCTACTTAGCCCGGGCTCTGCTTCCAGGGTGGCTTCTCCTTCAGCACTCGGGAATGCGGCTGGATCGTCGCTGATTGCACAGCTGAGGGACTGAAGTGCCTGCTGCTCCTGCAGGAGCAATGCCCCTTTATCACTGAGCTTGTGCCCCCTGAGCGGCTGTACGATGCAGTCAATGTGGTAAGAGTGCTGGACTGGGCGGGGGACAGTGCCCCCAGCCCTCAGCATGTTCCGTGGGCCTGGAGGGAAGAGCCTTCCGATGGTGGAAACTGGCTGGGATGTAGAAGCCCAAGGTTGGGTGTGGCCTTGGGGGCTGCAGTCGGGTTGCGAGGAGACCTCTGAAGCCCCCGCTTGTTTTCCACCTTGTGTGGAAGTCTGGGACCTGCCCACGCCTACATGAGGCTCTCAGGGTCCTTCAGGAGTGGGGCAGGGTGCATCTGAACATGCCTATCTCTCGCCTCCCTGTCTCATATCAGTTGCCGGCAGTTCCCGGCTGACTGGTGAATGGCTTCTCCCTGTACTGTCACGCAACAAACCCACTGTTCTGCCCTCTGGAACTCTGGGCCTGGTACTGCTGGGAAGCCCTGCTGACACTAGGCTCTGATGACCTGTCTTTGGTTTTAGTTGCTGAACATGAGGAATTCAGATGGAGGGTTTTCCACGTATGAGACCATGCGTGGATCGGCCTTTCTAGAGTTGCTGAATGCCTCAGAGATCTTCAGTGAGTATACGGCCGGTGGGGACACAGGTGCATGGCCCAGGGCACCTGGTCCTCCCCATGCCCAGGGCAGACCAGCAACGGCCCTGAAGTGAGAGAGTACTCCCCAAACTGCCCTCGGAAGCACCCTGTCCTCTAGAGCCCGCTTCGTCAACTGTGGGTCATGACACCATTATGAATGTGCAGGTGGTGAAAACTTTGGCAACTGTGAAAGGTTTCTGAACCTGCAATGCCTGCTGATTACCATATACACTCGAGTATAAGCCGAGTTTTTTCAGCACATTTGTATGCTGAAAAAGCCCCCCAGTTTTGTGGTAAAACTAGGTGTCTCGGCTTATAGTTGAGTACATACAGTAATTCAAAATCAAGTGCGTAATGAAGCCAGGGGCGTTTCTTGTAGCACTTGTTTGTGTTGCAAATTTCTCCGGTAAAGGGGTATCACGAGGGCAAAGCTGAGCACAGGTGAATCCTCCAGGAAGGTCTCCCATATTGGGGGAACCTCTTTCTGAGGCTGCTGACCTTGTGGGGAGGTTGGGTGGAGTGTTGAGTCCTGGTTGATAACCACATGTTTTCAAGCATCCGCCCATGGGCTGCTGTGCTGGCAAAAGGGGTTCTTTCTCGCTGTGTGGGCACTGGCCTGCGCCCTCCTGTGTGCTCTCTGGCTCCTGAATGAGGCCCACCCCTGGCATTCTCAGGAGGCGGGATCGCGTCTAGGGTTTGTCGGGATGTGGGATGCAGCCTCCTGTCATCTCGTGTGAGTCCCTTTGTTGTGGCCCAGGGCTGGTTCACCCAGGTCATGTGTCCGTGCATCCTGGAGGGACATGAGGCTGTGCATTGCCGGCTCTGCCCACAGGGGGGGCGCGTGCTTATCCCGGACTTGCCTGGGCTCACACCCCTCTCCCTCCTAGGCAACATCATTGTTGACTACACGTATGTGGAGTGCACCTCTTCCGTGATGCAGGCACTGAAGTGCTTCCATCAGCGGTTCCCGGACCACAGGGCAGATGAGATCAGGTGAGCCTGGGCCCTGGCTGGCTCCTCGACATTGGGAGCAGATCTCTTCAACTCTCGGTAACGGCGGCCTGTCTCAGAAAGAGACTGTAGGTGCAACTCATGTAGACCCAGAATAGCTTTGTCATGCTCCAAAAGTCAGTTCTTTGCTATGAAATAGACCAGTTATGGGTACGGAGGACCAGAATATCCACAATGATACTATAAAAATGGATGCTGTTTTACACCTTAAGAATGCCTTTTAAAAAAGACATTTAACTTCACTTGTGTCCACATAAGTGGCTTTATAGTAAGTAAGCCTTTCCTACTGAAGAATAGCATATAAACTAAGTCCCCGAGCCCTAAGTGAGGTCTTGGTGCATCCTGTCATCAGCATCCAGACAGACCTCTCCATCAGCTGCCTGGGCTCCTCTGCCTCCCTGGTCTCGTATGCACCAATGGTTCCTGACTCTTCCCCGCACTGCTGAGCCTGTGACGCTCAGCCAGCAGTCGAGGGCAGCAGTCGTCCATTTGTTTGACCCATTGCCATAGGCATTTGCGTAGAAGGACCTCACTTCGTCCACTCACCCGTTGAGAGATACTGGAGTTTCTTTTAGTTTGGGGTTATTACGAAGCACCCTTGTTTTGGGGCTGCATGCATGCCCCTTTCTTAGGAATTTTCTTTTTCTTTTTAAAAATCATTTTATTGGGGGCTCGTACAACTCATCATAATCCATACATACACCCATTGTGTCAAGCCATTGGTACATTTGTTGCTCTCATCATTCTCAAAACATTTTCTTTCTACTTGAGCCTTTGGTATCAGCTCCTCATTGTTTTCCCTCTCCCTCTGGCACCCTCCCTCCCTGAGAACCCTTGATAATTTATGTTATTATTATTTTGTCATGTCTTACACTGTCCGATGTCCCCCTTCACCCACTTTTCTGTTGCTTAGGGACATTCTTACAGGTGGACCTACTGTACTGTGTGGGGCATGCTGCTGTGTGCTGGCCCCAGATTCTCCCTCATCTTGCTGTGATTACATGGTTCGAGTTTCGGATTCTAAACCTGGTGTGCTAAGTCATGCTGATAGTCCTTTTATATATTGGATGCTAACGCCTGACAGATAGGCCATGATGTATGGCCCCTTTTGTACATTGTCGGAAGAAAGACGAGGCTAGCTTCCGCGAAGTTCCAGGGAGCAATTCTGTTCTGTATTACCAGGTCATTAGGAGCCAGAATCAACTCATGGCAGTGGGTTTCGTTTTTTTTTTACTTTGGATTCCACTTGAAGAATATTTTCAGAGTTTTGGCAAATAGTTAGGGGAGAAACTAGTCTGTACTTTTCCTCTCCTTACCCGCTCTCCTGTGCCGGCGGTACTGGAGGCAACGCTTTGTTCTTTGGAGATTGGCTGTCTGCGCAGTGTCATTGTCTCCTTCTATGTTGGAGAGAATTCCCCGGTGAGTCCGGCTGGCCCTGGAGTTTTCCTGGAGGAAAAGTGTCACATGATGCGCTCCATTTCTGTAGCAGTTATAGGGCTGTACAGATTGTCTATTTGTGTCAGTTTTTGGAGTGTTTCTATTTCATCTTAGTTCTATATTGATTGACACAAAACTTTCCCCAGGTGGTTTCAAATAGTGCCGGCTTACCACGGACGGGGTCAGCTCTCTTTTTCTTCTTCATTCTTACTAGAAGCTTAATAGTTTTATTAATGTTTTCAAAGACAACACCTGCAGGTTTTGATTCTATCTCGGAGATAACTCTTTTATCTTTCAGTGTACTATTTTGGCTTTTAAGGAACGCTGGTTTCTCAGTGGTTAAATGCTCGGCTATTTACTGAAAGGTTGGCAGTTTGAAACTCCCACGCACTCGGTGGGAGAAAGATGAGGCAGTCAGCTTCCATCAAGATGTACAGCCTGAGCAACCTGTGGGGCAGCTCTTCTCTGTCCTTTAGGGGCCCTGTGAGTTCAGAGGGACTCAGTGTCAAACAAAAAAACCTCCCAATATATATACATATTTTTTGTTTTATTTTGGGTATCATTTATCACTGCTCTTTATTATTTTTTTTCTACATACTCTTTCTGACTTCTTGGACGGATGCTTGGACAAGTGATTTGCATCTTTCCATTTTAGAGAAGCATTTAAGAGGGTGAGTAAGTGCAACATGTTGTGCAGTTGGAAATACTTTTCAGTTTCTCTTGTGAGTTCTTCTCTGACCCATGGGTCATTGAGGAGTTTTTTTTACTTAATTTCCGGAAACATTAGGATCGCATCGCTTGTGTTTTTGTGGAGTGAGTTCCTTTTGTTCTGGCCACCAGGTGGTGCTGTCCTTGTTTTTTATTTCTTTTTTCCCATTTTCTATCACCCCAGTTTGGCAGGAAGAAGCCCCTGGCAGGATGATGATGATGTGTATCCAGAGTTGTTCATGTCCCCAGCCCTGCAACTGCTTTATGGTCTTTTCTGCCATACTTGAGTTATCCTTAGAGAAAAGGCCTTCTGTGTGCAACTATTTTGAAAGCATGTCAACTTAAAAAAACCAAAATCACTCTAATACAGTAAAGCATGTTCTTTGATGGGCACTTGGAACTACAGAGAAGTTATACAGGCTTCCCTCATTGAGCTTCGGAGGGACCTGCACTCACTGTTTGGAGTCCCACCTTCATCGGTGTCCGTGTGTGCACATGTGCTCACACGCCCGTCTCTCCTCTGTCACTGCTCCCTCCGTACCTCATGAGGTTTCTGGAAGTGGTGGCAACTTCCTGAGCCAGTTGGAGTTCTCCTTCCTTGTGGCTTTGATCACTGTGCAATAATGGCACCTTTCTCTTCCTCAGGAGCCTTTTCCTCTGGGTTAGTCTTAATTTCCATTGTTACTTTCCACTGGTCACCAGCTTACCCTGGAATATATCATGAAAAGACTTTGTTCATGACCAGAATGATTCCCTGGAGCCGATGTGGGCTCTGGAGCCTCTGGTCTGGGCCGACCCTTCCCGCATATTAACTGTCATTGTGTGAAAACTGGTGGTTTGGAAGGTGAACATGGTCGTCTTATCATTGGGTTCACTGACATGTCTGTGGTGGTGATTGAACGAGGCTCTTTTCCCCCTGATGCTTACAAAGCACATATGTGTCTTTTATCATGAAACGTTCACTCATGTCCTTGCCAACAGTTTTACTAGGAAAATTTTACTTTATTTACATATTTAAACACAGTAAGTCTATTTCTGAAGCTTCTACATTAACAGATTATTTTCCAGCTTATTTGCTCTTTTTATCTATATTGTGAGTTTGAACATGTTTTGAATTTCTAAATAGTTAAATATAATAGTCCTTACTTGTTTTCTCAAGAAAGAGTTTATCTGGAGATATTTTGAGATACAGTTGCAGTTTACTGTAACACTAGTACAAACATAGAATATTCCATCTTTACTCTTCTGATTGGAAATCCACCCTTAATTAATAATTTATAGGGAAGTTACTAAAATAGGAAAAAACATTTCTGATTACCACTCACTTAGATTTTGTAATTGTTAACATTTTACTATATTTGCTTTATCATATTCCCTCCAGTACCCCCATATTTATATACATATTTTTCCTGGAACTATCTGAGGGTAAGTTGTAGTCATGTTGTACTTTTAGCCCTAAATACTTTGGTACATGTTTCTCAGGAACAAAGATATTCTCTTATGTAAATATTGCACAATTATAAAAATCAGAATTTTGAGAATAATCTGCAGACATTATTTAAATTTTCCTAATTATTTTCCCAAAACGAAACTCGCTGCCATCAGGTTGACCCAACAAAATAGGATGGAATTGCACCTGCTGGTTTCTGAGATTAGACTAACTGCATATTGGAGTGGAAAGCCTCATCTTTCTGTCTAGGAGCAGCTGGTGGCTTTGAACTGCTGATCTTGAGTTTAGCAATCCAATGTGCCACCTCTACACCACCCGGGCAATATCCTTCATATACAATTTTTCTCTTTAAGATCTATTCCAGGATCACGGTGCACTCTTAGTTGTCATGTCTGTATCTGTTTTAACCTGGAGCAATCCTTTAATCTCCCTTTTCTTTCATGACCCTGACTTTGTCGTTGTTGAAGAGTACAGGCACGTATTTTGTAGCATGGCCTTATTCTCTGTCTTGCTGGTGTTCATGATGTGTCTTAAGCTGTGTTCTCTCAAAAAGTAAAACCAGTGCCACCTATATGTGAATATATAGAGAAAATTTATATCCAGAAAAGGGCTCACAGAGTGGTAGAAGTTGGCAAGTGCCAAGTCTGGGCAGGTTCTAAGCCCATGGAACTTGTACTGTTAGACTGGTGGTTGCTGCTGACTTACATAGCTGTGGGGGCTGATGAGCCCAAGATTATCAGGAAGATGACAGGCTAGTGGATGCAGAGGTGAATGGATCCAAGGGCAGCAGGTTAGGGTTGTGGCCGCAGAGGCAAATGAATTCAAGGGCAGCAGGTCAGATGGCAGACTGATGTCTCCCAGTACTGGAAAGCAACATGGCAGGCCATTGGCTCAAGTCTAAAGAACTGGAGGTCGGATGAGTCAGGGTATAGGATTCAGACCCAGTAAACAGCTAGCACGTTTTTTCCACAGCATCCACTTATATTGGAAGCAAGCCACATCCCAAGGACACTTCCTTTCAATCGATTGCATCAGAGCTGTGACCTGTAAGCACCATCTTAATTTTCTTAAAACTGATGGGCCCCTCACGGCAGATTCCCTTGTGTTAGATCATATCCTGTAGAATTACTAGATCTTAACTCAGTGGTTAATCCTGAGAATCCTGGCCCACCCAAGCTGACACACTGCCGAACTATCACACTCGGGTTCTGAAGCCCTGCATTTTGTCAGAAATACCATGCTAGAGGTGTAGTCTCCAGCGGCTCATTTCAGGTAGCTTGTGATGTTGATTGTGATCAATTGCTTAAGGTGATGACTGGTTTCTCCCCCGTAAAGTTACTGTTCTTTGTGGAGAGGAGGTTTTAGATGCTCTAACTACCCTGTTTTTCATCATGCTTTTATCTGTTAGTGTTAGCATTTGATGTGCTTCTTGTCTGAATCATTATTCAGATGATGGTTACAGAATTGTCATTCCTTCCGTGTGTATGAAGGAGCCCTGGTGGCATATGAAGTTACATGTGGGGCTGCTAACTGCGAGCTTGGTGGGAGAAAGATGAGGCTTTCTACTTCCAGAAAGATTTACAGCCTCAGAGACCTCTGCCCTGTAAAATTACTGAGTCAGAAGCTCTAGGGGTAGTGGATCTGGCTTTTCATATGTATTAGCTGAGGTCCTACTAAAAACTTTCCTGTCTGTGGATTCTTAGGCGTTACTTTTCCCTTTATTGATCTTAAGCCTCCCTGGATACTTGGATAAACTTTTTTGTTTTAACTTGAGTGAATTGTCTTCTCTTTTCCTTGGAAGCTCAAGGTTCTGGGATTATCATCGTATCTGTTTCAGTAGGTCTCTTGCCTCTTTGATGCAGAGGGTCTGTGTGGCCTGCTTGCAGTCACCTGCTAGGAAGGTTTGGATCCCTGATTCACTCTATGTGCTAGATTTCTGACGGGCTTTGACATCTATTGCTTTGTCTCAGATGGATTATTTTTCCCTCTTTGGGTTCTCCAGTGCATCTGGCAGCGTTTTGAGTGCTGGTGATCCTGCCTGGAGCTCTCTTTAGTAGAGGTTTGCTCTAAGGCCTTATTTTCTTCTGTTTCTTTCTTGAACTTGGCCAGTTTTCTTCTCCCCTCCTGTAGCTGCTCCTCCTTTGAAACACTGTATCTCATTTGACCTACTTGTGGAAAAGGGGACTGTGTTAGTCTGGGTAGACTAGAGAAAGAAGTTCACAGACACTCAGGTGTATAAGAAAGAGCTTTATATAAAGAGTATTTTTATATTAAGAAAACATCCCAGCTCAGTCTAGATCAAGTCCGTAAGTCTGATATTAGCCCATATGCCCGATACCAGTCTGTAAACTCCTCTTCAGACTCATGGAACACATGCAATGATGTTGAATGCAGGAAGATCACAGGCCAGTGGGTGAAAAGTCTTGTGGACTCAGTGGCGGTGGAAACATCTCAGCACTGGTGTGGGTCTCCACATGGCTCTTGCAGCTCCAGGTTTCTGGCTGCCATTAGCATAGCCCCATGTGGCTTGTCAACAGGAATGTCTCGCAGGGAGATGAAATGTCAACAGGAATGTCTCGCAGAGAAAGTGTGTATCCCACCTCCAGGGAGGACGGTAGGAGTTCCCAGAATCCTCAGGAGAAGACCATGCCCACACAGAGGCTTCATTGGCTATGACTTGACTGACAGGCTAGACTCCACCTCTTCGCAATTTGACATGAGATTATGTAACTGCCGTAGGGACCATGCTCATTCTTTGGAGATTATGGGCTGGGTGGAGTTGAGAGAGGCACACAGCTGGCTCTCTGCTGGCATGGTAACATTGGCAAATCTGTTGTGTTCCAGGGAGACCCTCCAGCAGGGCTTGGAGTACTGTCGTCGGACACAGAGGGCCGATGGTTCCTGGGAAGGGTGAGTGAGCCTCGCCTGTTACCTGTAGGTGAGGACTTTCTGGGAATGACCACCAGCCAGGGAATGTCTAGTCAGCCACTCTTGCGAACCTGGGTGTTGACTAAGGCTGCCCCAGGCGCGGCTGGAAGGATCTCTGTTGGTGTCCACTCCACATGTAGCTGGAAATGAGTCTGTTGCACATGTTGGCTGCCCTTGACAGCCAGTGCTGCCTGGATGGCTCTGAGGCCACCACCTTTTCCTTCCCTTCACGTTGGCTGTGCCTGTTTGGGTCTGGTTGGTGGTTTCACTGATTGAGGTCACCCAGGAGGCAGGCCCGGGAGGCCCCATTTTCAGTGGTCCCGAAGCATGGAGTGAATGGTGAGGGCGTGTCTGGCTCACCGAAGCGGTCACCCTTCTTCCACGGAAGGCACCCTGACAAGCTAGCAGAGTCTTGCTGTAGTCACTCCTTGTCCTGTGTCTCCAGCTCCTGGGGGATCTGCTTCACGTACGGCACCTGGTTTGGCCTGGAAGCATTTGCCTGCATGGGGCACATATACCAGGATGGGTAAGTGGTTCTCAGAAGCCCCAGAGTCACAGGTGAGGTCAGCTCCTTGGTTCTTAGGAGCACCACAAGACACTGGGGATGGAGGGGTGGAGCTTAAAGCAAGACGTTCAGCACAGGCGCTTCCTCTTGTGAAGATTGCTTTGTGGAGTTTACAGGTTTGTAAATACTAAGCGAAGATTCCAGAAAACATGAGTATTGAGGCTGAGATGAGGATGTTTTCCTTGTCCCGGGAGCTGCCAGGACTGATGTGTATTCCAGACGCTTTGCTCGAGCTGTGGAAGAAGCTTCTGGCCTGGCTTGCTCCCCAGGTCTGCCTGGCCCCACCCTGAAATGACAGGGTCAGAGTTCAGGATCCTTATGCTGAGCCAGCGGCGTGCTCTGTGGCATGTGCAGGGTGGGCCATTGTCGGCCTTTTGGGGTCCTCTCTTCAGGGGTTATTGAACCCATTCCTTCAGGGGATGTAGAGCCCAGAGTGTCTCCCTGGTCTCCTCAATAACCCTAGGGATGTCATCATTGCGGCTTCACATTTTGGGCACCCTAACACAACAAGAGTGGGTCTGGAGTCAGGCCCTGGGTTACCTGGCTGGGATGAGACCCCAGATCCCAGACCTTCCCGTACGACATGCCTTTATTCCCCTGGTCCATGCAGGAAGGCCTGTGAGGAGGTCACCCGGGCCTGTGACTTCCTGTTGTCCTGGCAGATGGAGGATGGTGGCTGGGGAGAGACCTACGAGTCCTGCACGTTGCGGCACTACGTACAGAGCACCGAGTCCCAGGCCCACTGCACCAGCTGGGCCCTGATGGGGCTGATGGCCGTCAGGTGGGCATGGGCTGGCATGGGGGGGTGGTGTGTGTGTGTGTCAGGCCAGAGGTCCTGGGGAGTGGTCCCCTAGAGCAAATTTCATTTCTTAGAAGTTGGTTATGTGACACGATAGCCGCACAAGGAAAGCCCGCAACAGCATGGGATTGTGGGCAGGGGCCACTTGCTGGGCCTGGCAGTGACTGACCGAATCAGGACTCTGAGGGCTGGCAGAAGTCAGCTCAGGGCCTGCAGCTACTTCTTTCTGTGCACAGACACACATACACCTTCATGTGTAGCTACATGTGTGTGCATACGCACAGAAGTGTACAGGTGCATGTGCAGATATTCAAGAACATACCCACCTGTGAGCTCATTCTGTCCCTGTCTGTGTTCCACTATTGAATGTGGGGTCATTTAGAGGATCTTCCTCGAGCCCCTTCCAGGCGAGGGCAGGTTGGTATGTGCAGTGGTGGCGGCAGCAGCCTCTGAAGAGGCCAGCAAGGATGCAGCCCAGGGGCCGACTGTGAGGCCCTGGTGCCCCTGAGACCTGTGTGCCTGGTCTCCCGGGAGAAGGGCAGTCCTGGAGGCCCGGGCTGTGGGGCAGGGCTGAGGAGAGCAGCAGGAGCCGAGCACCTCCTGAGCGCCACATCTGTCCCAGCAGACCATGCTGTGTGCCCCTGGCCCCTTGTCAGACTTTGGGATAACAACTCGGAGGGGCCGTGCAGCACCTCACTGGTTTCCAAGCCTGGACTGCGTGGATAGGTTCTCCCCACAGCTGACCTGGGGCTTTGTCTCTCTCCTTTCCAGGCACCCCAATGTTAAGGCTTTGGAAAGGGGAGTCCAGAACCTGCTTGGAAAACAGCTCTCCAATGGCAGCTGGCCCGAGGTATGCCAGGGTCTTTCCAGGGGCACTGCATGGGGATGGGTGGGGCGGGGCTGGCTATTTCTCTGGGCACTTGGTGAGCTGAACCAACTGCTAAAGTCTGGGCTGGAGGAGTGTGTGGTGGCGTGTCAGCATGGTCTGGGGGCAGGGGCGGGTAGAGGTCTCTAGGACTTCCCTCAGCTCTGCTATCCTGCACAGCCCCTCACCCGTGGGACATAACCCGGGTGATGCTCTGCCCTCCCTCTTCCCGGGCTGCATGCTTACCTTCCACATTCTTCCAGGAAAACATCTCCGGGGTCTTCAACAAGACCTGCGCCATCAACTACCCTTCCTACAGCCACGTCTTCTCCATCTGGACTCTGGGCCGGTTTCTCCACCTGTACCCCCAGAATGCCCTCGCCCGTTCCCACTCAGCACACCCGCAGGATGTGGGGTGTGAGGGTGTCATCTGAGGGTGGGGGGTGTAGGGAAAGGTACTGTGTTCTCAGCCCAGGCTCAGTCTGAGACGGACTGGTTGGGGCTAGGAGCAGAGAGCTAGTCTGGCTTCTCAGAAGGCCCTTCCCTTCCAGCACCAGGCCTGCCAGTGTGGCAGCACCCTTTCTGTGGGCACAAGGCTGGAGCCTTCTGGAAGTGTCCACTTGTGTCTGCCCTTCCTGCCCTGCCATTAATGCAGGCTCCCCTTGAGATTCCTTGTGTCCTGCACCCCTTTTGGGGTCGTGTGCCCTACCTTTTTTTTCAAGTGGGAAGAGGAGGGTACCATGGGGTGACGCTGTGAGGGCAGCATGTCTGTTCTGCAGTCTCTACCTACTCTTAGTATCCCTGTGAGGAAGGGGGTCAGCCTTTCCTGTGCTGGGCAGGGGGCCTGGGGCAGTGCTCCTCCCACAGTGCAGCCTGTACGGGGCAGGGCCTTCAGTAGCCCAGCCTCCAGGTTGTACAGTACCGGTATGCAATAAGGAGAGTGGGGCAATCACCGCCTGGCCACTGTATGGTATGGGCCGTTGGTATGTGTTGGACAGCCTATCCCTTCCCATCCCAGCTAGGCAGGACTTGGCACCTTCCTCCGATGCAGGCAGGTGTCTGGCCTGTGGCACCCACACCTCACCCCCCTTCTGGATGGGAGGGAACCTTTGCCCCAAACCTTGATATTTCTGTGAGCTCAAATGCTCTGCTGCCCTGTGAGGAGCCACTACAAGAGACCAGGACTAGTGCCACCCACCACTTACCTAGTGCCAGCAGACTCTTCTCCCACCCTCCCCAGTCTGTACCAGCCTTCCCTTCCCTCTGCTGTTTCTGTGTCCCCCTCGCCCCATCCCATCATTTCCCACTTGGACCTGCTGGCCAGCCTGTCACCCTAGCAGTGGTCCAGGCCTTTGGCAGTTTGCCCTCTGGCCTCCCTCACCACCAATTTTCCTGGCCATCCTGAGCACTGTCCCCAATAGGCCTGGTACTTGCCTGCCTTGGGGCATTCTTTCAAGCTACCCCTCTACTGCCCCTTCTCCCTGTGCAAACCTGCACTGGCCCAACCTGGGACTGGTGTGGGCAGGTGGCTAGTCAGCTCATGTAGCAGGTGCTTAGAGGCTATATGTGCACCTCTTGGCCATTTTGAAACGAATGTTGGTTTTGGCAGAAGGGATTGTGTTGGGATGTTTCGAGCCTATCAGTGTACCCTGCACCACCCCCTCCTCCTGTGCGAGCCTCCCAGCCTTACACCAGCGGGGCATAGTTTTCCCCGATGCAGCAGCACCGGCTCCTGGGGAGCCCCTCTCTGCCACACCACTGTACAGAACACCTTTTATTCAGGACAGAAATCTGCTTTTGAACTGAGACTGCACATAATGAAAATGTTCATCTGAATCCCTGCTGTGACCTTACTAAACGGCCACCAGGTTCCTGTGCATGGATGCATGCTGTGGGTGGCTCTGTCTCGTCCTGGGGGACAGTCATGACCAGGGGGCGGTTTTGCAAACCCTGTCACTCCTCGGTCAAGTCCCTGGCAACAGTCTTCAGCAAACAGGAGGACGAGCAGGGTGCGTCACCAGTTACTTGGGGGAAATATTCCAGCCTGATAAAAATCCATAATCCAAGTATGCTGGGTAAATCATTCAAGGTTCTTGAATTAAAATAGCTTCATTGGTGATCAAGAAGCAATTTCGAGTAGTAGACTGCAGGTCCCTCTGCCTTAGCTTCCTGTGCTCACCTGTTTTAGACCCTTCCTGGTGAGGGACTCGCCACCGGACATGCTCGCTTTTCTGTAGAAACATATTCCAAGAGATAATGCTGCTCCTTTCTGGAGCATAAGTTTGGTATTGCTTCAAACTTAAATTTTATTGAGATAATAAAAAGTTTTATATACTAATGCTTTGTGCTATTTTTGATTAAAAATTACAATTAATAAGTTAATCGGTCAGCCTGTTTGATTTTTGTTCCTTGTAAGATAGTTTTTTATTTATAACTCACTTGTATTAAAAAGTAACGAAGGTTAGAAAGATGGGACAAAGAAAGGTAGAGAAGTCAGATGGGATGGGAAGGGAGTTAGCACAAAATGTCGGAGGGTCTGATTGATTTGCTATTAGTAGACTCCCAAGTTTAGTGCTCAATGACTCCATGTGTACACAAAATTCCAGTTTTCTTTTAAAAAATTGTTCTAACAGTTTTATTGATAGAATTCACATACCATGCAGTTCAGTGGTTTAAATATATTTAAAAAGAGTTGGAAAATCACCCCAATCAATTGTAGAACATTTTTTTCATTCTGTACTCATTAGCTCCTCATGTCCCCCAACCTCTCCTGCCGTAAGCCTAAGAAGTTACTAATGTAGCTACTGTGTTGATTTGCCTGTCCTGGATTTCATCTATAAGGAAAATCATACAGAACCACCATCACCACCAAAATAACACACCTAAAAGCCCCCTCAATCCAAAATAAAGCAGAAAATAATAAAAGCTAAAACATCTTAAATGAGTCCAACGGGCAAATGATGTTAAATTTTAACCTGGTTAAAGTTTCTGCAATAATCTACTTTCCAATGTACTGGGAGCAAGGCTAGTCACATCCCTGACCAGTGGTCAGAAGGGATTCACCAGAAGCTTAGTCCACCTGGGGACTCTGCAATTGGATTTTGAGCTTTCACTTTCTTACATAGTCTGCAAACCAGAGGCTCAGAACTTAAGGCGCTAGTACAATTCCTTCCTCTGGTCTTGGATTTTATTATTTACAATCCTTGGATCACACTGACTGGTGTGCTTCTTCTGTGTGGACTTACTGACACCTTCACTTTCAGTGGTTCTCACCCTCCTTATGCTGCCACCCTTGAATACAGTTCCGCATGTTGTGGTGACCCCTCAACCATAAAAGTATTTTCGTTGCTACTACATGACTGTCATTTTGCTGCTGTTATGAATCCGACAACCCCTGTGAAAGGGTTGTTTGGCTCCCAAAGGGGTTGCGACCCACAAGTTGAGAACCACTGGCTTAGATGGTTGCTCTATTTTTAAAACCCCAGATGCTAATCTTTCTGCTAGCCAGGCACCATCTGATTTTACCACACCTTGCTATACCACCCAAAGGATTTTTAAGACTTGGAAGTACATTACCACGCCTGTTTTCTCCAGCATCTCTGGATGGGTTTGAGCCATCAACATTTGGACTAGTAGTGAGTGTTTAATCCTTTGCACTACCCAGGAACTCTTGGCATTGTAGGTAAATAAAGATAGGATGACAGCTGTCTTTTCATCAGTGAAACATCAAAGGGTTAAAAACTAGAAGAGACCGATCAATTTGAAATTCCATATCTAGAGAAAATACTTTAAAAAAGTTAAGATATGATAGATTTTGAAACAAGGGTTGAAAGAATTTTCCAGTAGGCCTGCTCTACTGGAAATGTTAAGAGAAATGCAGGTTGAAGGACAATTGTACCAGATGAAAACTCTGGTCTTTACCAAAGGATGACAAGGACCAGAAACGGCACCACTAAATATAGAAGACTTCTCACTCTTGAAATGTATTCAATATGTAATTGGTTTTAAAAGCAAAAGGTTACCACATGGAACAACTCATGAACAGAGAGGTCTACAGGTCCAGCCCCAATCAAACTGACCCCCCCACCCCCCATTAGAAGTATGTACTTCCGAGGACAACACTAACCCTACACGTTGGGGAGAGCAAGCACTAACAAAACAAAAGAAGTAGAGCTAATACGCTAGGAAAGAGACAGCAGAATCAGAAAGAACACAGGAAAAAGAAGAACAGAGCAAACAAAACAAAGGAGATCATATATTTAATTACAACCAGCCAAGTAAATAAATGTTACAAACTATAAACGATCTAAGACCGCCAATGAAAAGGTAACTCCAATGATACATTGTCCACAAGAAACGTTAAGGATAAAGACACGCCGTTAGGAGTCATGGAGGTGGTTCTGACTTGGGGACCCGACACAGACTAGAATGAAGCACTGCCTGCTCCTGGACCATCCTCACAATTGTTAGGTTAGGACTTCTGCTGGAGCCACCACGCCAGTCCTTTTTTGGTGGACCCTCTATCAAACATGATGTCCTAGTCCTGTGACTGATACGTGAGGTGAACTCTTGCCATCTCGCTTGTAAGCAGCTTTTGGGCTGTACTTCCAAGACAGATTTCTTTGTTCTTTTAAGATGCCTTGCTGACACCATAATTCAAGGGCATGACTTCTTCTCTGGCTTCCCTTATTCATTGTCCCGCTTCTGCGTACATTCGAGGCAATGGAAAATGCCATGACTTGACTCTGGTGTACCTTAGTCCTCAGGGGACATCTTGGCTCTTTTCACATTTTATTTTATTTTATTTATTTTTTAAAACATTTTATTAGGGGCTCATACAACTCTTATCACAATCCATACACACATCAATTGTGTAAAGTGCATTTCTCAAAACATTTTCTCTCCACTTAAACCCCCGACATTAGGTCCTCATTTTTCCACTCCCAACCCCACTCCCCCATCCCTCATGAGCCCTTGATAGTTTATAAATTGTTATTTTGTCATATCTTGCCCTGTCCGACATCTCCCCTCACCCCCTTTTCTGTTGTCCGTCCCCCAGGGAGGAGGTCACATATAGTCCCTTGTAATCGGTTCCCTCTTTCCTACCCACTCTCCCTCCACCCTCCCTGTTTCGCCACTAACACCACTGGTCCTGTAGGGCTCATCCGCCCTGGATTCCCTGTATTTTCAGTTCCTATCTGTACCAGTGTACATCCTCTGGTCTAGCCAAACTTGCAAGGTCGAATTCTAGTCATGGTAGTGGGAGCGGGGAGGAAACATTTAGGAACTAGAGGAAAGTTGTATTTCTCATCGTTATATCACATCCTGACTGGCTCGTCTCCTCCCCGAGTCTTTTCACATTTTAAAGTGGTCTCTTGTGGCAGACGTGCCAGTGCAATGTAGCATTTGATGTTTTTGGCCGCTGCTTCCATGAGCATTGATGATGAATCCCCATAAGATGAAAGCCTCGGCACTGCGGACCACGTCTCTGTTTGTCGTGATGTTGTCTTTTGGTCCAGGTGTGAGGGTTTCTGCTGTCTTTCCATGGAGTTGCAATCGCACCTGAAAGCTGTGGCCTGATTTTCATTAGAAAGTACTGCAAGTCCTCCTTGCTTGCAGTAAACAAGGTTGTGCCATTTTGCATATTGCTGTTTGTTAAGAAATCTTCCAATCCTCAGGTGTGTTCTTCTTCAGATAGTCCAGCTTCTTGTCTTATTTGCTCAGCATGTAGATTGAGCAAGTATGGTGACACACACCGTTCCTGATCTTAAAGCTGGAAATAGTCCCTTGTTTTGTTCCAATGACTACCTGTTGGTCCACGTACAGGTTTTTCATGAACACAAGGAACTGTTCTGGAATTCCCATTTCTTCGCAATATGATCATTGTCTGTGCCACACAGCCGACTGCTTTGGCACAGTGAATAAAACACAAGTAAGCACCTTTTCAGCCAAGATCCATCTGATGTCACCCTTGATAGCCCTATTGTACGTCCCCTTCGGAATCGGCTTGGACATTCTTGCAGATATACTGTTGCAGTCGATTCTGAATTGTTTTTAGCAAATTTTTTACTTGCATGTGATACTAATGATATCGTTCAATCATTTCCACCTTCTGTTAGTAACAAATAAGGGTCTTTTCTTGGGAATGGGCACAAATATGGATCTTTTTCCGTCATTTGAATAGGTGGCTGTCTTCCAAATATCTTGGTGTAAACTAGTGAGTACTCCCAGTGCAGCAACAGCATGTTGAAACATTTCAATTGGTATTTTGTCAACTCCTGGGACTTAGTTTTTCCTAAAGCTCCCGATGTAGCATGGACTTCCTCCTTCAGTATCATTGATTCTTGTTCATATGATACCTCTGGAAATGGTTGAATGTACACTAATTCTTTTTGGTACAGCAACTCTCCTTCCATCTTCTTTTGGTGCTTCCTGTATTGTTCAGTTATTTGCCCGTAGAATCCTTCGTATTACAACTCGAGACTTGATTTTTTTTTTTTCTTTCTTCATTTGTTTCAGCTTGAGCTATCCTTAGCATGTTTTTCCTTTTTGGCTTTCTAACTTCAGGTCTTTGCACATTTCATTGTAATTGTCTTGAACTACTTTTGAACTTTTCTTTTACTTCATCATTTCTTTCATTCCCTTTAGCTTCTCTATGTACAAGAGCAAGATCTAGAGTCTCTTCTGACACCCACTTCGGTCTTTTCTTTCTTGTCACTTTTAATGACCTTTTTGCTTTCTTCATGTGTGATGATCTTAATGTCATTCCACAACTCGTCGGATCTTCTGTTATTCGTGTTCAATGCATCAAGTCTGTTCTTGAGATGGTCAGGCGAGACACACTCAAGGTTGTATTTTGGCTCTCACAGACTCGTTTTAATTTTCTTTAGCTTCAACCTGACATTGCATGGGAGCAATTCATAATATGTTCCACATTTGACCCTGGGCCTTGCTTTGGGTGATCCCATTGAGCCTCTCCATCATATCTTCCCATAGATATCATCAGCTTGATTTCTGTATATACCATCTGGCAAAGTCTATATGTTGCTATTTATGTTGTTGAAAAGGGCATTTGCAATGAAAAAAATGATTGGTGTTGCAAAATTCTGCCATGTGCTTTCCTGCCTCATATCTATCACCAAGGCCGTATTTTCCATAGACTGTTCCTTTCTCTGTTTCCAACGTTCTCATTCTGATCCCCAATTATTGTCTTGGTTGCATGTCTGATCAATTTCAGACCGAATAAGTAGGTATAATTCTTCAATTTCTTCATCACTTACTCATTTTAGTAGTTGATGCTTAAATTTGAATAATATTTATGTTAACTGGATTTGTTGGGAGGTGTGTAGATAATTATCAGCACTTTCCTTCAAGATGGATCC